CTCCTTAACTTCTTGCCTAACTTCGCATTTTCATCTTTACGCAGATGATCTACAGATTTACGTCACATCGAGTCCTGATAATCTACCGTCAGCTATACTCGCTATCAATAATGATCTGGCCAGAGTAGTCCAATGGAGTAAAGACTACGGTCTTAAAGTAAATCCTCACAAGAGCCAGGTTATCATTATTGGTAGCCCATATTACATCTCCAGACTCGATTGGACTCAGCTTCCTCCTGTAACAATCGACGGTGTTCCCTTAGATTTTAGGCAGACCGTAAAAAATCTTGGAGTAATATTCGACCGTAATTTATCCTGGGCACATCACATTAAAGATGTTAGCCGAAAGATATATGCAGCATCAAGTACCCTCAGACGTCTCAGCAACTTCTTACCTTTTAATACCAAAACCATGCTAGCGCAATCCTTGCTCCTACCCTTACTAGACTATGCCGATTCAGCTACATCTGATTTAAATGAAGAATTACTAGACAAACTTGACCGCCTTCAAAATTTCTGCATCCGTTTTATATTTGGCCTGAGGAAGTATGACCACGTTAGTTCTTTTCGTCAACAGCTTGGCTGGCTACCGATTCGACTCCGACGTAATGCACATGTCCTTCACCTTTTATACTCCATTCTATTTAATCCTAAAACCCCATCTTACCTTAAAACTGAATTTAAATTCTTATGTTCCTCTAGCTATAGTCTACGCTCTTCAGATAGACTTATCCTGGAAGTCCCTTCGCACAGCACTTCCTACCTTGGCAAATCTTTTAAGGTCACAGCAGTACGCTTATGGAATCTGCTTCCAATTTCCGTTCGTTTAGCTCCCTCACTCTCATCCTTTAAACACCTTCTTTACAAACATTTTACACTTTACAACTCTCAAACTTAACGTTTATAATATTATTATTATTGTAATAAGTAAAATTATTTAGATTTTAAGTTTCGCACTTCCTGCACGTTCCCCTAATTAAGTTGTTTTACATTATTTTCCTAAGAAGGGTCGCCTGGAAGAGATCGCTTAATAGCGATAAGGCCGCCCGTTACACTCCATACTTTATAGATATTATTATTATTTTTAGTTCATTGTAATTGTGTGCGTGTGTTGTGTAAAAAGTATAAATAAATAAAATAAATACAATTACTGTTTGTAAATAGTTGAGATTCAATTTTTTTGGGACTTGTTGTAAGTAACTACTTTAAGGTGTGTAAATTACGGTATGCAAATTCGTAGCAGGTACCTATTTGTAAGTTTTACTAGTATACTGAGAGATTTTGCAAGGACTGGAAGAAGTTAGTTAGAAGTAGTCTTAGATAGAAGTTATTGTCAAAACAGAGTTTTCTTTATGATAGAAGGAGACAGACTAGCATGGGGTCCACTTGATGGTAGATGATATACCCATACCCTAAGGATCTATACAAGATGCGCTGTCGACCTTTTTTGGCTTTGGATATTCGGAAATCCTGAAGACTGAAACTGAAACGCGATTAAGCTTCACGGATCTTGCATAATTCGTGACCCGGACAAAATTTCTACATTCCTGCCACCCTATAACATCCAGATGTCCAATTTAAGGGAAATTATCATTAAAAAAATTAGAACCATGCACCCGACAAGGATTGAATCCACGACCCGTTGATTGTTAGATTGTTACAATTAGACCAAAAAGCCCGTCGTAAGATATATCTAATCTTACGACGGGCTTATAAAAATATGAATATTTTAAAATAACTAGCGCTTGTACTTACGCGACTAAAGCTTACCTCTCAACATAGAAATTGGGGAGGCTTTTACTCAGTGTCTTACGAAGCTCTCGAAAGCTCTTCCCTCCAAGACAATACGCGGTTAAGACGCCAGTTCAAACAGTCCTAATACCGCCTTATGATGTAAAACTTTCGGATAAGCAATAATCTACCAACTTATCTGATGTTGATCAACTTTCCCGATACAAACTTTTGCAATTCGTTTCGATGTTCGAATATGTTCCTTTGTAATTGGACTTCTCTTTCATTTGAATAAATTACAAGGAAATTGGGTATTTAGATGTAAAAAGATGCGAAAGTTTCGCTGTGAGGGTAGACTGTGTGGATTTTATTTATTAGGAAATAGTTAGTCAATCTATTTAATGACAGAGAAGGACAGACAAGCATGTTCACTTGATGGTAGGTAATATACCCGAGCCTATAGCATTTAAACAAGATGCACTGTCGACCAATTTTGCCTTTGGATATTCGTAATTCCACAGGCTGTAACCGAAACGCGATTAAACTTCACTTTTCATCTTTAGACGGTGGTTCGTGATCCGGACGGAATTTCTAACATGTTGGGCACGGTGGGGATCGAACCCACGACCCGTTGATTATTACCATACATTACTACCATTAGACCAACGAGCCCGTCAATCTTACCTATCCAACCCACAATATTACCTATTTAAATCCAGAACTAATCTATTTGAAGACCCGGTTAACGGGTCAACTGTACAAAATTTAGTATTTATATTGTAGTATATAAAATAATAGTATTTATTTGGTTCAAAATTGGAAATTGAAATTTTAGCACCTTCCCGTTGTTAGATTCATCTGAAATTTGGTACACAAATTTAATTTAGATGACAATAAAATATGTATAATAAAATGAACAACACAATAAGTCTAAGATGGCGGCCGACACAAAATGGCGGATCACATATTTTTCCTTAACCCCCTCAATATGGGTATCTACTAAAACACGATGATTATGTCAAAATTTTAAATGTTTTGTAGTTTTCAATGCAGTTTTTTTTAAGTTGATACTTATTATTACGTAATTTGTGGCTTTGATGCTAAAACATTCGATATAATATAAAATACATGTGAATTCGATATCCATGGTATTTCATGTACCTGGAAATTACAATATCCTATGATTTTCATTTCCACTCGTTCCTGGATCTCATATTAATTGCAGGTCATAAATATTTTATTTCTGTTTCTTTGCGTAATAATGAAAATGACACTTCGTTCGCCTCCAACGTTCGTCATTTAAAGACAATTTATTATATACTCTTTTGTTTGTTTAATTTGTTTTGTTAAGAACAGCCTGACTTATAGGACATCTTTTAATAACAAACTTTTTTTTAATAACAAATCTACGACTTGAAATTGAAGATTGTAGTAATTTTTTAAACTAATTTTGTATTTGTATAAATGATTTTAAAGGGACACCAAGCCTAAAGTTGGGACTATGTTCCAAGTCAGGTATTAGCAACCTTTTAGCTAATAGTTTGATACAAAATACAATTTCAAAGGACAAGAACAAAGCAGTGGAGTAGAATGTGAAGAACTTTTCTCTCCCTTCCTCAATACTCTCAATTAATTTCCGATCGAAACTAATTATAACTTTTGTGACGCGTAATTTGAATCCATAGCTTGTGTCTTCTGAAGACGTGTGATCTTAAACGTGATTTATATTCTTGTATTAATATTGTAAAGCCAACTCGTAATATATAAAACTGAAGAGTTTGTTCGTTTGTTTGAACTAAGTAACTACTGGTGGGAATTGAATTTCTCTTATTGTGTTGGTTAGGACATTTAGCAAGGGAACATAAAACATCACAATGCGACCAATATGATCCAAGATACAGCGGCAAATGTGGAGAAAACGGGGAAAATTATTTCTATTTGTAGGTTCCTTAGCTGCAAAAACGGTTCAAAATAACAAAAAATATATAAATAAAAGAATGAATATGAATTAAGAATATCCCCTTTAAATGATATAAAAAATGTACGCGACACTATATTATGTATGTTAATCCTTTGTCATTAATTTGCAAGAACGACGGGACTCGACCGACATCGTGGGTTATTATGGAAAGGGAGTAGGTGAAGTTTAATAGTTTTTTTTTTTCAGTATGTAGATTCTTTCTAAAATCTTTTTTCTTACGCTAGTAGTACACATTTAAATAAAACACTTTAACGGTTTAAAACGCGACATATCGTCGACAGCCGTGGTCACGGGGAGACTAATATATCGCGTTTTAAACCGTTAAAATGTTTTATTTAAATCTTCTTTCTATTAAAAATTCTTAGAAGATATGTTACAATAATAAGTTTTAGTATCAGTTGTGGAGTTTGCTTTGAAATATAACTATGATAAATATCACTACCCATAAAATATTCCCTTTGCTTTGAACGCGACTTAAAACATCTACGATTTGAAATTAAGCGAATAAATTTTCTAAAAAAATTCACACCATTGTTCCTTCAAATAGATTTTAACGAGTGTACTGTTATTGTATAAAAATATTAGTTTCCAAATGTATATAAAAATAACAAACTGACGTCATGTCCACGACGTCACAATCCAAAATGGCCCACTATTAATAATTTATCGAATAAAATCGAATAAACGAATTATTCTGAATAATTCTTCGTCAACTAATTCCAGGGTTTTTGATAATAAATGATCGTGTCACTCGCAGGTGGGAAAATGAAGCGATTAAATTGTCGTGTTGGGCACAGTTGTTGGAATGAATGATTTCCGCGGATTTTATTATTTGTCCGGACACATCCGTTGACATGGAAACGATAGAAGCTCGATAGGAAACTTATAACACTGAACACTTCTTACATTTTCGAAGGTCAAGCTATTGTAATTAATAAGTTCAAAACCGTTTGCAATACAATTTATAATACACTTAGCTCATATAATGCTTATAACTCTTCGCCGCTTTTTTTTTAAATTACATCTAACAATCATGAGAATAACTTGATGTAAGGCGAAACCCTCTAGCTAAATAATTTATAAGCGATTTTTAATTTATATAGTGACGTCATGTGCAACAACATGTTGTAGGATTCAAATTTCGAACCCGGTAATTTATACCACCGCTTTTATGCTTTAGATTAGACTTTAAGTTGAACTCAAACGAGCTATTTTCGTCCCCAGCTGTTCGGTCAACTGGCACGAACAATCCATGAACACGCTGACCTACATCCTGTTTCTGTTCGCGATGGGGCAGATCGTTCCACTCTCGGTCATCACCTTCAGTTACGTGAACATCATCAGGACGATGAAGAGGGTAAGTTGATCCGTTGGAAGTTGACAATTTGGAAGAAACGTAATATAATAAATACTCTTTAAACGCTGTCCGTTTACGCGAGTAGTACACATTTAAATAAATCATTTTAACGGTTTCAAACGGGAAACATATTAGCTACACTAATTTACAAATTATTTTAAATCGGCCCAACGTTTCGGATGCCGTCGTCGCGAAAGTCCTGCCAACATATTATGTTACAAAAATCCCGCTTATTAATTAACTAGCTGTGTCAGCGACTTCGTCTGCGTAGAATAGTAATATTGGGCGCTCAAAATTGTTTTTGCAAACCTCCTTTTCATCTTTATAAATTTAAACTCCCAACCATGATGTCGGACGCTCTTGTCAGTTAATCTCCGTCGTTCTTGTAAGTTAATCTTAAAATATAGCCATATTAAGTAGCGAACCTTTTTTTAGATCATTTAAAGAGATTTTTCCTTCATATATTTTTTTGGTATCATGAACCGTTTTCGCAGCGTACGCATGGGGAACCCTCAGTGATTAACAAACTTACTCAATGAATGTTCTAATCAACACAAAATTATTCAATTCGAACCAGTAGTTCCTGAGATTAATGCGTTCAAATAAACCCCTCAGCATTATATATTAGTATAGATTGAAGTTCTATAAAATATTTAAATTTGTAAAGTTTTTAACAGTTAAAAATATAAATAGTTTATATTACAACTAGCTGTGCCCGCGACTTCGTCCGCGTGGAATAGTGACTTGGGGTAGAATTTTTAATAATTTAGGCTGTTTATTAATTCATGCCAATCTATGTTGTAAATGCTACTTTGCCCCAACACTCTCACCTCACATCACTCCTACTCTAACTCCCACTCTCATTCCTACACTTCTATTCCCAAAAAGCCAAAGAACAAAGTTTCATTGTTCTAGCTTCAAAAACCACGAATTTCCATACAAAATTTCATCCTCTTTTTCAACCCCTTTTTGGCATTAAAAAGGAGCCTATGTCCTTTCTCAGGCTCTGCAATATCTGTGTACCAAATTTCATTTAAATCACTTCAGTAGTTTCGGAGTTAAAGCGGGGCAGACAGACAAAGTTACTCTCGCTTTTATAATATTAGTATAGATTAATATTTCTTATTGCCACTATGAGAGTGCAATTCGTACCGTTTAACTGCACTGGAAGTACTTTTCTCATTATTTTAACACAACGTAGATATCTATATAAAAACTTAATACACCCCAATACTTAAACATTAAATTAAGATAAGTCAGTACTAGAAACAGTCAGACTTAGCGTCCCTAGAAAGCCGTAGATTTATACGGGTTTACTCCGCAATAGTTGTTTAAGCAGTTAAAACTAATTTAGCGATACTAAATTAGATTTTGCTGGCGATACATTACAACATTCCACTAAAACAGCAATTAAGCATTTGTGTACTTATTAACAGCATTTAAAGGGGATCCAGCGCAGTTTACATTTCAATAAAACATTTTAACGGTTTAAAACGAGACAAATATTAGTTAGGTTTTTCGTGTTTTAAACCGTTAAAAGTGCTTCACTGTTATTGATATTTTACAGTTGAATTTAAAGTATAATTCTGCCCCTCTTCGTGCCTGTTTCACTGAGTTCACAAAAACAATTATGTTCCCTCACGATTTAAACTTAGGACAAACGATAAGTCTGCTGAACATTTGAACTCGTGTTATAAGTTATCTGTGCCCAGTTCTAGCTCTATGTAATTTGAAAATCGATAATTGTACAATGTGACCTAATTATTTTAATGAACGACGTGTCGAGAGGTTCTCTCGTGGTAATTTGCGAAAATTCTACTAACTTGGTATGGTAATTTTAAAATGAAGCTTCATTTAATGCATCTACACAATATTTGTTTAAAAGGTATATATAAAAAAAATACAAAACGTTGCAATACATGCATATAAGTTTGTTTGTAAGACAAAAATATAAACGAATATTATATTAGCGTTAGTTTGTGTGTGCAATTAAAAGTATAAATTATTTGTATATAATGCTACATACGTAGGCACGTGCGTAACTCTAAAAATATGTATTAATAAAATATATGTCATAAGTGATTCTTTCTTTTCCCAATTTGGTATATAATTATTTGTATAATGTATATAAATATTTTTACCGATGTATTTTTCATAATCTTCCTAGCATGTTGAGTTAAGAACTGAACAGAACATATCGTCTTAATTATTCGTACTTTATGCGAATAGAACACATTAAAAACATTTTTAACGGTTTAAATCACGAAAAATAGGTAAAATAAATTGGAAATTATGTAATTCTGTAGTTTTAATCCGATACAAATACTTTACTTAATGTATCGTTGTTACTGTTTACTGTTTGTTGGATTAAAGTTTGTTATTTTTGATATTTTATATAAATTGTAGAATTTATACTACAGCTGTGGGTTTGAAATCCGCCCTTGTCATATCTATCATTTAGCTATGAATATTATTTCTTTTAAAAGCAAGATCGTTTTAAAGGTAGGAATAAACATTCATTATCTAATACAGATTACCCGCGGAAAACATAACTTAGCTTACCCCAGTTTCTATCGAGAGAACAGTGATACAGTCTCTGTATTATGATTAACCTGTGTCAAGGGTACACGAGAAGAGAAACGGATCGCAACGGATTTAAACAAAGCTCCACGAATTGTCACTGAATTGTCGTTCTATTTGATATTTGCATATAGAGAGAGCGCTTCAACTGTCTTTGAACATTTGAAGGTTGCCATGCAACTCGCTGGAAATTATTCTTGCTTCGGAATCAATCGTTCAAATTGATTTTGCATTTGTGTTCGACGTTTACATATACGAGTAGTTTTCGTATGTGAAGTAGTTATAATTTTGCTGTGTTTTCAGACAGCCTCTGTAGCGACATGGTTGTGTCACTCACAAACGTATGTGTAGTGAGCGTTCCTGGGTTCAAATCGCAGGGAAATAGTAGATTGTTGGTCAGGCCATAGAAGCCTGACCATCTTTTTGTCCGTAAATAAAACCATTAAATGAAATGGAGGCAGAAATGTGTTCCCATGCCTCTACGGAGTACAATATTACACTTTATATGTGGTTTATGTGAATGGCGTCTTTTTAAATGACCATAATTAAAAAACTTATTTGAAAATCATTTTCAAATAAGTTTAACTAATATATCGCGTGGAACCGTTAAAGTGTTTTATTTAAATGTGTACTACTCGCGTAAACTATAGACAGTATTTAAATATTAAACAAAACATGTAACTCCAAACAATTGTCGAGTGAAAAGTTTTACAGAAATTAACAATAAGGATGTACGACTCAAAATTTCTCCGCCATCTTTTCAAATTAAACGTCAAAATGACAGTTATATATTATATACAAGCTTGTTATATCAAAGTGATTTAAATTAAGCACGTTTTAACAATTTACACGTGCGATCATTTCTTTTAAATCTTAAGTAGAAAACATTTAATCAGTGTTTAATGTTTTAATTTAATACCTTTTTATAATTGTTTATTACTTCGTAAAAATAAGTCCTGTTTATTCGCAGAACTCTAAAAGGTTGGGTCGCGTGCGCGTGAGTCGCGCAGAAGCTAGAGCGACCGCAATGGTCTTTATCATGATAATTGCCTTCACCATCGCCTGGACTCCGTATTCCCTCTTCGCCCTGATGGAGCAGTTTGCATCTCAGGGTATAGTGAGTATTACACATTTTTAATTTGTTATTTGAAATTGCCTTCCTGCAAGATTAAAGAAGTGGTTTTTTAATGTATCTATACATAATCAATTTTCAGTAATATTTAGCCCCGTGTTATATTAATGTTATATATTGATTAATAATAAACAAACATACAAAAATAGGCGGACGTATAATGCAAGTATAATGTATGAAAGTAGTATTGTTTTTAAAACAAAATTTTAATTGCCTGTTGTTATCGAATGAAATAATTCTATCACATAGAAAAATGTATTACTATGTATATAGTATGTTTGTAATTCAAGATGTTACACACAAATTATTTATCGATACCACGTTTTCGTTATAAATCGTTGTTTTAGATGTATGTTGTTTTTTATTCCATATACAGTATACCTGTTAATATATTAATCATGAATAGAAAGTGAAACGATTATAAACCACAAGAAGATCTGAAAATTGTTTTAGTTCATTTTGCTTATGATACATACAGATATCCCCCGGAGCCGGCGTAATACCAGCTCTAGTCGCCAAGAGTTCCATCTGCTACGACCCTCTCATCTACGTCGGAATGAACACTCAGGTGAACATTAATCCTATTATCAATATTAATATCATACACGCATTTGTTAATTTCGATTAATCTTTACAGTTCCGGCAGTCTATCAAGAAGATCTTCGGTGTCCACTCCAAGTGTCGATCTCCGAGTAGAGGTTACAACACGGCTATGTCGCCGGCACATAAGCTATCAGCTTTCAACGATATTACGGTTCGATTTAATACTTCAGACACAAACGTTCCCAGTACACCGAGAAGGCTAAAAGAAAGAGCTCCAAGTAACGATGAATCTGACATATCTAATGACTATAATAAACTATCGTCTAAAATAGGTGAACTAGGTACTATACAAGAAATGAAAACTGTATCTGATGCTGAAAAATCGATAGACACAGTCTACGATGACGAAAGCAGTAAGAAAATTGACTCAGAAAACTCACCCATACTGACCATCGACAGAGGGCGTTTGATGTTTACCAAGAAAAATGTGAAAGATATCCTCGATGACTCCAATGTGTCTAGTGAAGAGAGCACTAGCGAACATAATTTCAAGAAAATTAAACATAGCTATTCATTCGATTTAGGGCAAGTAGTACCGGTGGAGACAAAACGACGGAAATACTCAATGGAGACGTATATGCCATCGAAAGGTTTGTTTAAAGAGACGATACTTAGTAAATTTGTTGATGCTGATCGCGTGAAAGACGGTAATTTCAATGTTTAGTCCTTCGGTAGCTATCCATGGTAACGTTTCAACTTCCAATGAGGATGCATTGGGTGAGATGGATTCAAATCATATTTGAATATCCATGATCTTAATGGCTTGTTCCATTTTTGGACTGAAATGCGATGACTGCGATGTTCGAAACCAATGGAAATCGAAGTCAACGAAACAAGTAACCCGAAAACTAACCCGTCAATCCGTTAAAAGTTAGTAACGATATGAAAAAAGGGAACAAAGCTTAGCACAATTATACTTAGTAGTTAATTTGTTAAATGTTCGAGTGGTCTGAAAGAAATGAAGGATCTGTGATAGACGATATCAGTGCCAATTGAAATATGTCTAGTATTTTTCTAATGACGAATTTATTAAGGTGTAATATATTTGAAGTTATAAGGTTGAAATGTTTTTGTTTATGCCTGGGTCTTAGGGTAACTTTAATCTCACATCGAAACAAGCGAACAGGTCAGGTTTTTTAATGTACTAGGTGGGTCTCCATTGAGCGAGGAGCCAGTTGGAGGACCTCGGTCTATTAAGACACGGGTGCTGAAGGCATTCGGCTGACTTCGACTCGGTTTTGTCCATCAAGGGCGCTTCGGCAGCGTGCTCATGCAAAGGAACCCTGAGTTTCTTTTGAGCAAAATTCTGACCTATTCTTCTCCAAGGTTGCTTACTCAGTGAAGATCCGACGCGAAGACTATTGTGATAGCGATAGTTAAATATAATGAATCGTCCTTGTGTTCTTCGTTAGACTCGTCAGGGGTGCTTCTATATAAGTTACTTTAGCGGAATACGATTCCGAAGTAATTGAGATTTTTTGCATTATTCATCGTAATATTATTGTTATAATTAATGTTTTTAACTTTGAGGTCGTAAAGGTTTTCAAATAAAATTTAATTAAAATAAATATTTATAAAAATAAATAAATTCTAATGAACAATTTTAGGCATAAACTAAAATGTTTGTAAATGACAAATAATTGGACTTTGACTATTGATAAAATATTTGATTAAAGCATTACATTTTCAAATATTATAATTCCCTTATTATGTTACGAAATCTATAAAAATATTATCGCTTTTGAGGAACTCTAAAAGTTTTCCGTCCAAAAACACTTTGCATGTTGATCATTTGTTTGAAGCTTTCTCACACACTTCTACCAGATCTCGACAGCTGTTGCAATAAAATATTATCAATGCAAATCTGAAGAAATTGTGCCGCATTTAAATTGTATATATTATAATACGATTGAGGCAATTTGCAGTTATTTATTCACTTTAAATTTCTTTGCTAAATCTTTTTGTAGCTTTCGGAGTGAATCTTCAAAAGTACATTAAGCTTAATGCGAAGAAATTGCATTTAAAAGCAGATTTTTCTTATTCTTCTCTTACAGGAACCTAACTGATTCAGTTAATTTGTTTCATATTATAAAACTTTGTAGTAAAATACTTAACAGAAAACCTTTTAAATTCTTTTTCTCATAAGGTGATAATTCCAGTTTTTAATGATAGCCACCATATTCTGCCAGCCCCAGTCCAGACCCATTCTTGATGGTGATAAAATGTCCCATTATGTAATTAAGATGTTCTTGGAGGCTATTCTGGGTTTGGATTTATGACTAGTTGGTAATATTGGTGATTGCAGTGCGCCTATAAAGACAGCCTTTTAAATAATAAAATTGTACCTTTGAAATTTTTTATCAAAAATAGGCCAAGGTTTTTTATGACTGACTCGCTACCCGTCAAGTCTCTTTCCTTTGAAATGTTAAAAGTAAAAAGACGAAGGTAAAAAATGTTGTTTTCTGACAAGGCGGTCTACCTAAAGAGATGTGATGTAAAAGATTTTTTTAAATTGCCGAACTAATTATTCTAAATGTACGTAAATCATATCATTACCATCTTGTAAGTTAAATTTGTCACGAATTCATCGATATTTCTTTTATAAGAAAGTTTGTACCTAATACTTATAAATTGTCCAGACGATGTTTAGCTAGATTTTAATAAAACTTCTAAATTATTCTTGAATTAATGAATAAATAATTTTCTTTCGTCACCTTTGTTTTATTTCGCTGCGACTAATTTGAAAGTTTATAAATGTATTGCATTTTTAAAACCCTTATTACAACCTTATTTCTGCTTAGTTTATTTTCTCCAATCACTGAGGTTATTGGATTTTATTTATTAATAAAATCAATCAATTGGCTACAACAGCAGCACGAAACGTTGTGGATGCCGGTTCAAGTCCCGAGCGTGTCGTCCTTTTTTCAATCTAAGTAGACTGTGAATTTATTTAATATAATAATATTTGACATATAAAGCACAACAAACAACAATTTAAAACAGTTTTTCGTTCAATATTCTCAACCTTGATTTGTGCGAAAACCTACGGAACAACAAAACCGCTCAAACAAAAAATAATGATATGAACATAACCCCTAGAATGTGTTCACTTTTTCAAACCATTAAAATAGAAACTCAATGCTCAACCTTTGATAATGAACGAAAGCTTTATATTACGTCAGTAATTAAAAATACATTCCACGTTACAAAACATATAATGAAACGTTTCTTAATTAAAATAATTGTGAATTGTACAATATCGGATTACGAAACTGGCAGTCGAAGACAGGGACGGGCAAGAGAAAAGAGGAAGCGTTTCTACGCATTATTTTCAAATTATACAAAAATAGTACTTATTTGTTACATAACGTGTCTTTCCTTATAGTTTCGTTTCTTTGTAATAATTTTAACAAGGGCGACAAAACACTTTTTATGAATTTATAATCCAGCTCAATAATATCTCAACAAGATACTCTGCTACTGCTGCTGCTACCCATTTTGGCTGTGAATATTTTGACGGTATTTCGATATTCCTATTTAGATATTGAGATAAAGTTCTATATGTTTCGAAAAAATTATAAATAGTTTAGATGCATGTAGGACACGGTGGGGATAGGACTCACGGCACGTTAATTTTTAGCCATACACTAGACCAATTGCAACAAGCCCGTCGAACCACTTAACGTGGTCATTATCAAATTTAAATTTGTTTTGATGTCATCCTGAAAACAAATTATAGATCGGTAGGTATATAACAAAGGATAATAATTGTATTAAATTAAGAGGAACTTTCCTATGCTTACTAGTTGAGTCTAGACAAGATATAATATATTATAGATTGATATACCTATAATTATTAATTTTTATAATATATCAAAACAAAACATATAATTGTAAAAGAAAATTTTTTATTTATTAAAAATATTTTAAAAAAAATAATAATCTATTTATTAAAATAAAAAATTTTTAAATACATTTTTGGATTAGCTTTTTCTTGGATGGGGTGAAAATGCAAGGAGGAAAGAATTATAATCTTATATATATACTAGCTGTGTTGGCGACTTCGTCCACGTAGAATTGCAAGTTAATCTTATCAGATAGACATATAGCGTAAAGGACATTTTTTTTAATTGTTTAAATGGGAATCATTATTTCATACATATTTTGCTGCGACGGAAATCTACAACGGTGAATATTTTTTCCGGTTTTTCACATTTACTTACCATTGTCTCCTCGATCCTAATGGTCGCAGCGCGATTTCAATTCAAACCAGTAGTTCCTAGGGTTATCGCGTTTAAACTAACAAACTCTTCAGTTTTGTAATATTAGTAAAGATATCATCTGTCATATGAAATATATATCTGTAATATCTGCTACTATTTTTAACATTATGTACAATTATATAAATACTTAATTTATTTTTCACTCTGTTGTTCTGTCTGTACACCGACGCAAATTTCTTAGAAAATTCTTACGGGATCCTTGCCTTTGTAATTATCAGGTAATTAGTATAATTCATGTAATGACGTTGAATAAAGCTGCCTGCGGCTATGGCACAGTAAAACAAAGGCTAAATGATATAAATAAAACTTTGACTTAACAATAAGCTTACTAAAATGTGTAAGGCTTTCACGGCCATCGTTCAGCATATCATTGTCTTTCGGGCTGTTCGACCGATGTGGGGGGGGGGGGGGGGGGGGGGCCCCCCCGGGGGGGGGGGGGGGGGGGGGGGGGGGGGGGGGGCGGGGGGGGGGGGGGGGGGGGGGGGGGGGGGGGGGGGAAAAAAAAAAAACCAAAAAAAAAAAAAAAAAAAAAAAAAAAGGGGATGTGATATAAAAAAAAAAAAAAAAAAAGGGGGGGGGGGGGTTTTTTTTTTTTTTTAAGAAAAACCCACCCAAAACCCCAAAAAAAAAAAAAACCCCCCGGGGGGGGGAAAAAAAAAAATAAAAAAAAAATTTTTAGGGGGGGGGGGGATCCCCCGGGGGGGAAAAAAATTTTTTTTTTAAAAAACCCCCCCCCCCAAAAGGGGGAAAAAAAAAAAAAAATTTCAACGGGGGCGGGGGGGGAACGCCGGCCGTTTACGGCGAACGGGGGCTTCGGGGGCAAAAAAGCTAATGGACTGCAGCTCCAGTCACCATCGAGTCTCACCCGTCGTCGAAAACTATATTTTAAATTTCTTCCAAAGAAGGTCCTCTGCGATTCAATTATTTTAATTTCGTTTCGTGCAATCGGGAATTCCTTGTTGACTCCTTATGATGCCGTCCATAAATTGCAAAAGTGTTATAATCCGTCAAACGACTTAATTTGTACAGTCTGTGCAACTTAGTCTTAAGCCTATATATAGTCATTTATAATACTGATCGTAAACCGCTCGGGATAGCTATATTTGTGATTTTTCGAGTTATACTTTCTACGCACATGCTTATCTAGAATGTTATTCAAAATATCATTTTGAATAACATGAGGGCATCCTCCGGGTTCCGCATATTATAAACGCCACTTCAACCGACGACACTCAGAGAGTGATATAGAAACAAAATTTGTTTTGTAAAAATAATAAAAGAAAAATTGCTCTTACCTACGGATGTGCTACAGTCCCACTTATTCAAATCGTCCCGTCCTATTCTGGTACACCGGGGATAACGTAGCTCAATCATAAGTGGCGGGTGATACCCGTCCACCAGCACCGAGGGATCGTCCGCCTACGTCACCGACACTTTAACCCACAAGTATGACGAGCAAAACACTATCTAACTAAAATTTAAATAATTAAATTAAAATAAATCACTAATAAAAAAAAAAATTAAAATCACCTAGCAATAACACTTTTTCGTATTCTAATCACAATCGTTCTATTAAACTTAAACTATTCATTGGCACTGATTTTGGAAGGTAGATATACTAATCAACACAATAACAATAATTTGTCATCAGAGTGAATTGTAACACAGACTAGTTCAAACAAGTGGCTATCTATGTGGCGCCATCTAGTTTGCATTGGTTCACTCTTTGTATTCATAAGCCACGCGCGGCCACAAGAAATGCACTGTTTAGTGCTTACCCTCGTCAGTACGATCGTACCGAATAATTTGGTAGCTGGCATAATAATTTTGTTCCTCCATTATCGAGTAATTACACCCAGTTTCTGTAATAGCAATGATATCAGCTTCTAAATATATACGTTGCTACAAAGACTGTTAAAATTAGTTCGGAGGCCTCGGGCTT